TATATTTTGAGTTTATATAAATGTTAGATTAATGTCGAATGTTAGATGAATTAGATAGAAAAGTTAAATATATAGTAATGTCAATTGAATATATAGTTAGATATATTAATGTCAAAAGTTAGATGAATATATATTTGGCTAGATATAGGTGTTTAATGTTTCACCTATATAAACATAGGAAATGTCATCTGACGACGAAAAAGATTTTATTATGTGCGAACACTGTGAAGACCAGCGCGGCCTGTGCGACCAAAATTTCCTTGTTGATGGTAGGCGCTTCAGCATCAAGCTGGATGAGACATTCGAAGTTGATACAGTAAGTCACTTTGTCAATTATTATTTGAATGCAAAACTTATGCTTCATTTGCTTCAACTTATAATTTTAAATTTTCACTATTCTACTAGCGCATCCCCTGCCATGCAAGATTTTTTGTCTTGGATAAGATAGGTTTCAGTGCTATAGATGATATGGAGGTAAAGAGAGTTTACTTGAAGACGCAGCATGGGTATACTTTCAACGTCAAATTATATAATGGAGACACATACACCCATTTTGAATGCAAAACTTGGCAAGCACTATGCAAGGCTTATGCATTTGAGCCTGATATGGTTATCACCTTTGATATTCGTCCGGAAGATGATATTGAAGGTAATATAGACATCTGGGTCGATGTGCAAACGCCTCCAGTTCTACCATTTGGTGAGTTTTTCTCAACCATGCATGCATATGTTTATGTCTTTCATACAATTTATTCAAAAATAGTTGACAACTATTTTGTATTGTCAGCTTATTTCGATTCAAGCAAACATGTCCGGCGCTTGGTAGACAGGACCTACTACTGCCCCGGGGCTCAACTAAACTGCGAGGAGATAAGTCATTATGTTTCATGGCTTGAGGATCTTAATACTGTCAAGACAATTTTTTTTCCTAAACTTAGAAATGTTAGTACTCAAAACGTGCGACCAATGGTGATCGTATTGAACTACGGTCACATCTATAATCAAAAGATGGTAAGATTTTAAATATTTGTCCTTAATTAGTGCATCTTTTGCATACATTATTTTTGAAGCTAAACTTTCATTGCTTAGTATATTAATTACTATACGATGTTGTTCAACAGGGACTTCCGATGACAGTTGTGCCTCAGTGGATCGAGACAAAAGGTCGCATGTCAATGGTTAGCTTACGACCAAGATTTCCTACATTGCACATGAGTGCATTCAGGATTTCTAAAAGCGAAGAATGCTTAATAGTGAAAGATTGGAGCAAAATTGTTAACGATCGCAGAGAAGTACTAGGGGGCAGTAAGGAGAAGCGCAACCCAAGATTAGGAGACAGATTCATCTGCATGCTCCAGTATGATGAATCAGGAGAGCTATACATGTTCTATGCTATTCTACCTGAGAGGGAGCAGCAGGATCAGTAGCTACTACTTCATGCTCTTAATTAGTACTTGTCTCATGGATCCGTGTCCTGAACTTCAATGTTGGTGATGATTATGTTGAACTTGATGATATCTCTTTGCTTCTGTTACAAAGTGAATGTTTCCTCTTTAACCTAGCCAACGTTGATGATGATTACATAGCTAGCGGTAATGACTATAGGGTTTTTATCAGTTATGCCACCGGTTGTGTCCCACTACTCAGTTTTGCCATTAGAAGTTACAACTGCTCAAAAATGCCATCAATCTGTGAGATGCTTGCTCAAAATGCCATTAGATATCTCAAAAATGCCATCGTTCTGTTAGATGTTTGCTCAAAAATGCCATTAGATATTGTTATTTTTACGTCAAACCCGTTGACCATGTTCTATGAGAAAAATAAGCCTAGACCCACATGTCAGTTCTCTCTCTCTCACAATGATATGTGCGGCCCCACTTGTCAGGAGTAACCAAGCGAATAATTTTATAGGAAAATAAGAAAGTTGTTGGGATCAAGGGGGCCCTATACTTTATTGTAGTGAGATAGAGGAAGAGCTGGCATGTTGGTTCATAGGTATTTATGTCATTATAACATGGCAAAAGAGATTTGAGATCACAATAATGATGTTTAGTGGCATTTTTGAGCATGTGTCTAATGAAGCGATGGCATTTTTGAGCAGTTGAAATTTCTAGTGGCAAAACTGAGTAGTGGGACATAACCGGTGGCATAACTGATAAAAACCCATGACTATAATGATTAAATAGTGGTAATTAGACGACCACGATGATTTTTAGCTAGCTAGAGTTTGTTTATTTATTAATATGCGATGATGGTGATGATGATGACGACTACAACTCATTATAACGTAAAACAATCCTAAATTAAATTGATAACACAAATTTAATTGAAAAATACAAAATAAATCAAAAACCCACAACCATTTAGTACCGGTTGGTTTTACCAACCGGTACTAAAGGGCTCCCGGCCCCCGGAGCTGGCTCGTGCCACGTGGTACCCCTTTAGCACCGGTTCGTGCTGAACCGGTACTAAAGGGGGGGGGGGGCTTTAGTGCCGAAATAATAGTGCCGGTTCCTAAACCGGCACTAAAAGGCCTTACGAACCGGTGCTATTGCCCGGTTTTCTACTAGTGACCCTGCACCACCCGTCATGGTCAGGCCACCGAATTGAGAGACATGAAGCTTCGCACGCCATCACCAGGAGTTGTCATGCTCGTGATTAGGGGACCAAAACACCACCACCAGGAAGTGTCATGTCCGCGATTAGGGGACCAGATCAGGGCCACACAGACACCAAAACCACAGGCAACTGCCCCCGCCACTGATGTCGGCCAGGCTTCAACCGATAGCGCACTCCGACGACAATGAGGAGAGGGGGCCATGCCTGGCGACAGCTATGGTTAGCCCCATGTCGCTCACGGGAGCGACACGGGGGTGGGGGATTTTTTTGACTTCACACCCGCAAGCGATGAGGGACCACGGGAGTACTTTTTTGGTCACAAATTGATCAAATCGACAAAAAAGCAGATAACAGGCAACTTGGCCATCTATGTCTAGAACTGATTAAGTCTGAAGAAGAAATTGGCAGTCAGAAGTTTCCATGTTGATAAATCTGCATTCTATGTAGATCACAGATTCCCAGCGACAACAGGTTGCAGTTACACTAACTGAACGGGCACTCATCTTCTTTTGGAAAACTGCAGCCGGACAATCATGCTTTGAAGCCAGCGATAATCAAACCAGAATGGCAAGAAATGACTTGTGGTTCGCATCAAGTTGAAACAGCAGTTTATATATTAGAAAGCATTAGCAATAGATCGTATTAAACCACTACTATTATTAACATTGCTATATCACAGTTTGAGCAGACATGGAAAGACATCACAGAAATGGAATAACAAAGAGAACTGAATCTCGAGAGCATGTACTCCTCGAACGCTCTAGAAATACAACAACAATGTTGCATTCCAGGTCCACCCAAACAACAAGATAAGTTCTAGGCTAGAGCTACAGATTGAAAACAAGAAAAAAAAAACAACCATTCATGTACAACAGAAGTCCATGCAGATAAATACATTCATAAACAGAGAAGTAAGCAGACACAAGAATGTAGATATGAAAATATTCAAAATCGTTCCAACAAAACGGTAAAATATCCATAGTTAAGTACTCCCTCTGTAAACTAATATAAGAGCATTTAAAATACTAAAGTAGTGATCTAAACGCTCTTATAATAGTTTACAGAGGGAGTAGTAGGGTGTTACACCTGCATATATGACCACTCAAACAGAGTACTAAGTTGACTTAAGCTAGCCGCATAATGTCCAGTACATGAGTGCACTCAAGCACCAACCGTTTAACTTCATAAAGGTCTACCCAAATCACTGCTGCCCTGTTCATATTCATGATGTAACTCTAGTAACCTCAGAAAGACTGACATTTGTGAGACTCCAAAACACAAGACATTTAGTGCCCATCTGCCAATGACTCCGTGAACAAAGGAACATAGGAAAGATAAGGGCACCTACAATTCCATGGAAGATCACATATGAGACGCAGCTCCGCAGAATCCATATCGTATGAAAATAATTTCTTCTCTGGTCGGTACCACAATCTAAATCCTTTGGTTATGAATATCAAATTGTGTTCTGGGTGGGCTGAGATAACACTATAATATTGCTCAGAGATTGAATGCTCTATTCCGAACAGTCACAAGTAGCTGACATTGAGCTTCAGGGTCCAACAATTTTCACTACTATAATCTTCAAGAACCCAGATTGATACTTCAGAAGCACCCTGAACTGTGAGATACAACTGTCCCTGTGATGCATAGACATTACGACCACCAGGAGCAAGAATGATCCTACAATTTCCTTCCACGTCGACCGCTGCAACTGAATTTTTATCATAACATAGATATAACACTCCGCTCAAAAACGCGCCACCTGATAAGCAGAGTATCTCAATTGGATGGGTCCAAACTCCAGCTTCGGAAGAGTAGATGCCCATCGCTTTGATGCTATAATCACCGCTCTTATTCGGAATCCAAGCAATGGCAGGTACCAACTCGAACACATAGAAGTGTGCGGACACAGCCGGGTCGAATCCCAGGCGAGCGCTGTTGACCAACCAGGACCAGTCAGTGGTGGGCACAATTACCCATTTCTCAGTTGCGGGATTGCACACCATGTAATCCAACGTCTTGGGGTCATCAAATGTCCTGGCGTTAGTTGACTTCCGGCCTCGGCAGAGGAGGCGGCCGTTGCAGCAATCCAAGATTTGAAGGCTCTAGTATTTGGGCAGGAACGAGAGGGAGGTATCATGAGGGCACCAGTTCCCTGAGACGCTTAAGTAACCATGAGAAAGATGCGTATGGTCGTCCGTGGAATAGCTAGCTGCATAAAGTCAGGTACCCATCACCACTTATTTGAGTACAGCAGAGCACACAAGCATCAACAGTCTATCACAACTTACCCAGATCACTGCCGCTCATATTCAGGATCAAACTTCGTTGTCATCATCAGAAAGATGGAAATTTCTGAGGCTTCAATACACCAACATTTAGTGCCCATCTGCCAATGACTCCGAGAACAAAGGAACATATGGAAGATAAGGGCAACTGGAATTCCATCCAAGATCACATATGACACGCAGCTCCCCAGAATCCATTTCGTATGAACACAATTTCACCAGTGATAAGTACCCCGATTCGGATTCTACGGCTATGAATATCACATCGTGTTCTGGCTGGGCTGAGATAACCCTGTGCTTAGAGCTTGAATACTCTATTCCAAACAGTTGCAAGTAGCTGCCATTGAGCTTCAAGGTCCAACAATTTTCACTACTAGAATCTGTAAGAACCCAGATCGATAGTTCAGAAGCACCCTGAATTGTGAGATACAATTGTCCCCGAGATACATAGACATCAGGACCACCATCATGTGAGGTAGGAACAGAAATGATCCTACAATTTCCTTCCACGTTGATGGCTGCAACCGAATCATGACCAGAAGGTAAATACAACACCCCGCTGAGAAATGCGCTACCTGAAAAGTTGCCTATCACAAATGGATAGTCCCATTCAATTTGATGTGTCCAATCTCTAGCTTCAGAAGAGTAGATCCCAACCTCTTCGATGCTATCGTCATACCCCTTATTCACATCCAAAGACAAGGTAGGTACCAACTCAAACACATGGAAATGGGAGGAGACGGCCGAGTCGAATCCCAGGCGGACGTCATCTACCTTGCTGGACCACTCGGTGGCTGGTACGGTCACCCATTTCTCAGCGGCGGGATTGCACACCACGTAATCTGTCTTGGGTTCAACCAACATCTAGTATCGGCAAAGGAGGAGGTCGTTGCAGCAATCCAAGATCTCAAGATTTTCCCATTCAGGTAGGAACAAGAGAAAGGTGTCAAAAGAGCGCCAGTTCCCCGAGACGCTTTCATAATCATGAGAATGACATGGATTCCTGTCTATGGCACAGGTGCTGTAGAAGAAGCCGGCGAGGGTCGACCGTGGAAGCTTCTTGCGGCGGTCGGGGTGGGAGATGAGGTCGCGCCAGCGCGTGGAGACGCACTTGCAGCAGCAGGTGGACTTGTACGGCACGCGGGAGACAATCTCGACCAGGAGGTCGACGGGGAGCTTGGCCGTCGGATCTCTCATGAGCGCCGTCTGCGGGGAGGCAACGGGCGGCTAATCTGCAGATCGGGGCGGAGGAAAGTTAGAGAGATACGTCCTGCTAGCAGTGAGGGGAGAATGAAGGAAGAGAGGTCAGGACCTACCAGATGCGTGGGGCGCCAACTGCGAAGAGAGGAGTGGCGAGAGCGCCGGCGTTGGGTGCTACCATCCGCGCCGGCGAGGGATTTTTTAGGGGATGTGGATGGCGAGATCTACTTCTATCTCAGCTCTTCACTGGGTCGTGCGAGTGGAAACATTCTCCATAAAAGACGCATGCACCATTTTGCCTTAGTCCTAAGGAAAAAAACATTTGGTTTACTAAAATTTAAGGATGGTACTAACTCTTTTACTTTGTTTTTTTACGCCATTTCAAAATGTAGAACAGATATTTATGCATATCTTTGTTTTCAGTTCTTTTTAAAGCACTTCACCGATGATTACCTCTTAGACAACATGCATGGACAAGAGGCAAGGAAGGTATTCATTCAACACCCACGATACAATACTGAAGTCTTCCTCAAGAGGACGAAGGTTGGATGTGCAATTATCCACCGTCACTGGTCTAAAGTTGCAAGGACATTCAACATCACTGAAGGCTCAATATTGACCTTCTGCTTCAGCAGTTTTCCAGATGAGATTCATCTATCTATTTACCGTGTATGATGCTACTTTCCAAAGGTTTTAGATGCTGCATGTGAAACTTGATGCTGTTGTGTAATGGCGTAGCTAGCTATATGCATATATGGTGTAACTGAGTGCTGAAGCTATCTGATGTAATTTAATTATGAAATGCAATGTTAATTTGATTACTGAATGGATTATCAGTAATAGGCCAATTAGCCTGATTATTAGGGTTTCTGTTGCATACGGTTTCTCAGGCAAAACCGTGGCGATGAACTCAAACAAACACACGCGGTTTCTAGAAAGTAAACGTGTTGGATTAATAAACAATCACACACGACTTTCGGCCGACAAATGTTTGCGTTAGGCCACCATGCACAAACGTTTCCACATAACATACGAATGGAAACGTTTTTCTAGAATTCACTGTGTGTGATGTACCTATGAACGGAAATGATTGGGCTTGTATAATTGTCTCCGATGTCTAGCCAGATCGCACACGAGCTACTTTTACCCGCGTATGTGACCAGAGGACCTATCCCGAGGGTTTCTAGGTCGTGTGGGAAGGACCGCCCTATTGTACACGCAGAAAGGTGACAGTTTAAAACTCCATCGCGGAAAGAGAGTAAAAACCGTTTGTATAGTACGTCTCTACACTAGTGAATTTTTCTAGATTTTTTTTTTTGAAATGAGAGGGGTTTCCCTCCTTCCCCACCTTTTATTAAGAAGCTAAGGCAAAACAACCGCACAGAAACTGTTAACAACTCTTGGCACATTCAGGAAGTAGTTGCAGTGGACTTATTACCGGAAGATGCAATCCCTCCCTGAAACACTCACATTTGAGCCGGGGGCAGACAATAGAGCAATTTAAAATGACTAACAGCGCAAAAAAACTACAACTATATTGAACAACTACCCACATCACCAGTAATCTCAGCTATCCTAACCAGCTCCCCTCGTCGATGGTCGAGCAACGTTAAGCAACAGAGGAGGAGCACACCTTGGTTGTCTGAACATAGTATCTTCCATTGCCGAATTCTGGCGCCCACCAGGTCCAGGATGCATAGCACACTTTGCCAGCTTTGCACCTAGAAGACAAATTCGTTTCGAAATAACCATCAGATCCCTAAGGCAGCAGAAGTAAGATTGATGGCATCACATCATTATTTTAATTTCTAGAAGGAAAGCAGAGAATGGAAGGAATTGGGCACAAGAATGTTAACACTCTCTACCACCACAACCCTCATATGTTGAGCAACAATACAATAAAAAACTAGGGGTTGGATACTTTCAGGTTCATCACAAAAGACACCAGAAACATCTTCAACATGTATGCGTTTAGCCAAGTTATCTCTAGTAAGACTTTTGTTATGGACAGTATGCCACAAAAACACATGGATGTTGGGAGGCACTTTGATCTTCCAAATAAAATCCTTACAATCAGAAGGCACCCCCACCCCAAAGTTGATTTCACTACGTAAGGATTTGATAGAATATAAACAAGCCTTTTCCAAGGTCTAGACATGCATACCTAACTCACTTGTAGGAGAGAAATTTCTAACCAAATCCACTAACTCAAACCATCTAGTCGAAGTTAATTCATCCACACACCTTCTAAAAGAAAGGTGCAGGTCCACACCATCCTACACTTGGGAAATGGATGCATCTTGTTGCTGACAAATAACAAAAAGATCCTAGAACCTAGTTTTAAGAGAGCACTCTAGTAACTACGTATCATGCCAGAAGGACACATTTTCTCCATTCCCAGGAATCCATTGTTGGGGAACGCAGTAATTTCAAAAAAAATTCCGACGCACACGCAAGATCATGGTGATGCATAGCAACGAGAGGGGAGAGTATTGTCTACGTACCCTCGTAGACCGTAAGAGGAAGCGTTATGACAACGCGGTTGATATAGTCGTACGTCTTCACGATCGACCGATCCTAGTACCGAAAGTACGACACCTCCGAGTTCTACACACGTTCGGCTCGGTGATGTCCCACGAACTCATGATCCAGCAGAGTGTCGAGGGAGAGCTTCGTCAGCACGACGGCGTGATGACGGTGTTGATGAAGTTGCCGATGCAGGGCTTCGCCTAAGCATCCATGACGATATGATCGAGGTGGATTATGGTGGAGGGGGGCACCACACACGGCTAAGAGATCAATGATCAACTTGTGTGTCTATGGGGTGTCCCCTGGCCACGTATATAAAGGATGGAGGGAGGAGGAGGCCGGCCCTCATAAGGCGCGCCCAAAGTGTGGAGTCCTACTAGGACTCCCTAGTCCTAGTAGGATTCCACCTCCCACATGGAATAGGAAAAAGGGAAGGGAAAAGGAGAAGGAAGGAAGGGGGCGCCCCCCCTCCCTAGTCCAATTCAGGCCAGTCCATGGGGAGGGGCGAGGCCACCCTTTGAGGCCTTTCTCTCCTTTCCCGTATGGCCCATTAAGGCCCAATACGAATTCCCGTAACTCTCCGGTACACTGAAAAATACCCGAATCACTCGGAACCTTTTCGATGTCCGAATATAGTCGTTCAATATATCGATATTTACGTGTCGATCATTTCGGGACTCCTCGTCATGTCCCCGATCTCATCCGAGACTCTGAACTACCTTCGGTACATCAAAACACATATGCTCATAATACCGATCGTCACCTAACGTTAAGCGTGCGGACCCTACGGGTTCGAGAACTATGTAGACATGAGCGAGACACCTCTCTAGTCAATAACCAATAGCGGAACCTAGATGCTCATATTGGCTCCTACATATTCTACGAAGATCTTTATCGGTCAAACCGCATAACAACATACGTTGTTCCTTTTGTCATCGGTATGTTACTTGCCCGAGATTCGATCGTCGATATCTCAATACCTAGTTCAATCTTGTTACCGGCAAGTCTGTTTACTCGTTCTGTAATACTTCATCCCGCAACTAACTCTTTAGTCACATTGCTTGCAAGGCTTATAGTGATGAGTATTACCGAGAGGGCCCAGAGATACCTCTCCGATACACGGAGTGACAAATCCTAATCTTGATTCATGCGAACCCAACAAACACCTTCGGAAACACATGTAGAGCATCTTTATAATCACCCATTTACGTTTTGATGTTTGATTGCACATAAAGTGTTCCTCCGGATATTCGGGAGTTGCACAATCTCATAGTCCGAGGAACATGTATAAGTCATGAAGAAAGCAGTAGCAATAAACTGTAATGATCACAATGCTAAGCTAATGAATGGGTCTTGTCCATCACATCATTCTCCTAATGATGTGATCCCGTTCATCAAATGACAACACATGTCTATGGATAGGAAACATAACCATCTTTGATGAATAAGCTAGTCAAGCAGAGGCATACTAGGGACACATTGTTTTGTCTATGTATTCACACATGTATCAAGTTTCCGGTTAATACAATTCTAGCATGAATAATAAACATTTATCATGAAATAAGGAAATAAATAATAACTTTATTATTGCCTCTAGGGCGTATTTCCTTCACCCATATGTCGAAGACTTTAGCGTCAACAAAACCCCAAGTAATGCATTTCTAGATTGTAGAACCATTCCTAGTTTTATCCCATGGTATATTGGCTTTATCACTGGTGTACTTAAAGCACAGAAGTTTTTTTCCAGTCGCTGTTCCTACCATCAAAAAATCTTTTACTCCAGGAAGCCAACAGATCCATGTTAAAATCTCTAAGATTGGGACCCCCAACCAACAAACTCTTTCCTTTGAGAGACAAGCCTCGAATTAGCAAAAATGATATTTGTGCTCCTCTCCCAAATTCCCCTAGTAAAAATGAGACATTTGGGAGGTGATGGAATCAATTGCCCAATTAGGAAATTTCATCATAGACATCAAATAAGTAGGAATGCTAGCAAAACAAGTAGTAAGTAAAGTAAGTTTGCTCCTATAAGACAAATTTCTCCTCAACCATCTTCCAATATTTTTGATAATTCTATTATAATGGCCTGAATAACCTCCCTCCTAAAATTTTTATAGTGCAGCGGAACTCCCAAA